TTTTTTTTTTTTTTTACTCGAACAAGTGAATGACTGATTTACTTGTCCGACAAGCACATGTCAAGGCTTAATGTCGAGCCCTGTATAAGTAACTTTGATAAAGTATTAAACATTTCCTGTACAACACTGTGTGTATATATATATATATATATATATATATGCTCGTTATGGACAAACAAGCAGACAGATGGGTCAAGACTGTAACAAACAAGTGGCAGATGTGACGGCGATGGAGCATCTTGATGGTGAGTGATGTTGCAGGTTGTTTCTGCTGGTATGACAACACACTCCCAGCCTAAACTTTTCCTAAGGCAGAATCCACTAATGAATCCTCACTGAACATCCTGAGAGTGGTGACCAAAGGGGATGTAGTACTGACAAAGTCCTAATACAGCTCGGCCACTTAGAGGTCAGACTCAGGCAGCTCGCTGGTGACACCTCTGTAAAGGGTACTCCTGAAATAAAAACAAAAATAAATTCCCAAATTTTTAATATGTACTCTGACCTTCGATATATTACATTATTTTAATCTTCCTTAGTGTGTTTGAATTATTTGACATAAATGGATGTCATGCCATGTTTCTGTATGGTTAGAAAAAATAATGGCCCTTTAAATTAATTTCAGTCAAGAACTGCTCTATAATTTTAAAATAAAAAATAAAGTTTGTTTTTTGACAGTGCGACAGTCCATTTATTATATCTAGGTCTGATCTCATACACTAGGTTTTTTTTATAAATTATGAGTTAGCAAAAAATGTGGAGTTTATGTAAAGTACAACATTGAAGAATTTACTGATTATAGTAGGTAAATTCAGCAGTCAATTTTTTTTTTCTGAATAATGACTATTGTCCACAGAAATGCTGTACTACTCACTGTTCATCCAGAAATCCTATGTATTACACAGAGCAGAGGTTGTGTTCTGTTCTGTCTCATCAATAATCGTTCCAACTAAGCCAACAAAAATAATTTGAACTAAAAGCATGTATTTATATATTACATTACCCCTTAATCAATCAAGTTTATTCTAAAAGGATTTGATAATTCACTTAAACTAACCATTGTTCTAGGTTTGTGCCAGCTCTGTTTTCTTTCAGTACAGCTATGAACAGGAGGAACTTCACTGATGCCAAGCTGTGAGTGTTGTGCTGTCTGGTACAGTAGTGCAACATTATTTCGGTCACACAGTGCTGTCCCAGCATCACAGGAACGACTGCTGCGGGACAGTAATACAGGGAGGGAGTCATATAACAGTCTGTGAAGATAATTAAACTATAACAAAAGTCATTTATTAATATTCTATATAAATATTTGTTAAGTAGAAATTTAAATAGACACTTGTTAAGTATTAAAATATTCTATGTACATTCACATACACCGTAAAGAGCTCTACAAACCTTTTTACAGAATAGTTTCACTATGCCTGTCTTTGTACAGAAACCTTAAAAAAGGTTGTATAAAACGAGCATTTAATTCAGACTTAAGCTAATATCTTCCCTTCCTCACTGGCCTTAAACACAACACCCTCACTCTTATCTCTCATTGTCATCTGATTCTTGTTGGAATTTGAGAAATTATTCAGTTAATATTCATAGTCCAAAAATCGTATATGTTGCAGAAACAAGCACATCAGTCAAAATGAATACAATATAAGTAAACACGTTACATGGATAGATTAAAACAAATAATGAAAAGACAGGTATGATCTGTAAGAAACTGGAACTTAGCTAGATTCACTTGTTGGATATAGCATGAGCATACTCACCCTCAAAGTGTCGATGTAATACAAAACTTCTCCTTCTTGCTGTTAGTAGAGACAGCTGCCTGCCTCACAATGAATTTCATTGTCAAATCATAACAATACAACAACAATAACAATCCAGGGTCATTCAGTCCAGAGGAAGTGCCAAGTCCTTCAGCAAAGCCATTGTTCTTGTAGCTTTCAAGTCTGTAGAGAACTTAATAGATTCAAAATACATTTTAACTTCAAGTTTGAATCTTAAAAAAGGTTTGCATTTAGAAAATTTACATGAATGCAATTGATATTTGGCTAACAGGAAAATAAGGTTTATGAAATAAGTATCACTTTTTTACATATTCATGAAAACCAAAAATTCCATTTCTGTAAGTAAATTCAAAATTAGGATTTGCATAACATTTGATAAAATCAAGAATGTCACACCAAAAAGTTGTTGTGTAAGAACAATTCCAAAATAAATGTAAAGAGGTTTCAAGGTTCTCTAAACAGAGAGAACAGTTGGTATTAATGTCATTCTTGAGTCTTTTAAGAGAGCACTTATCTGGATAAAATCTGTGAATCAAATGAAATATAACTTCTCTCATTTTGTTAGTGATCAGGTATTTGTGAGGTAATGACCAAACTTTCTTCCAGGGAATATCTAAGATTACTAAACCATTCCAGTAAGAGATTACATAAGGCACAGAAACAGATTCCTCCTAAAAAAATAAATAAAATAAAAAAATCTAATTTTCTTATTGTTTTTTATTTTTATTTTATTTATTTAGATGACGAAAGGCACTGCTTACTAACAAATCTTTTACATAGATCCACTGAGTGAAAAGAGACCTCTAAAAAGCATTAGAACTCCAAGTGGCACCACATCAAGAACAATTGCAAACTCTTTTGGACTAATTCCATAACTAAAAACTCAGAATAATTACAGATTAAACCATTTTGATTAAAAAGTTGAGACACAAAAATAATACCATTTTTAAACCAATTTTTAAAGAAAAGAGATTTGTGTTTATGCAGTAGATTCGGTTACACTTTACTTTAAGGTGTCCTTGTGGGTAATTATGCATTTAAGTACTGAGTAATATTAATTAACTACATGCACTTACTATGGTTAGTGTTTGGCTTAGGGTTACAATTGTTATTATAATAGTAAGTACATGTAACATGTGTAACAAGGACACCTTAAAATAAAGTGTTACTGTAGATTCTTATTATTCCATATCGTTCACAGTAATCCGGGGAAG